ATCGGGAGCAAATAACATAGAAAAAAATGGTGTTGCAATTATGGTGACTAAAAAAGTTTCACAATACCTGTATGATTACCAACCGATAGATGATAGACTTATAAAAATAACCTTACTAGCACCACCAAACAAAATGCACATTCTTCAGATCTACATGCTAACCTCAGACGCGTTAGACAACGAAGTGGAAGACGTATACTCCGTTATTGAAGACACAATAAGAAATATTCCATCTAAATAACCACTCATAAGCTTGAGTGATTTTAACGCTAAGGTAGGAGAAACAAGAAATGATAACATCCAAAATGTAGGAAACTATGGGTTAGGTGTTAGAAACAGCCGAGGCGAACGTTTATTAGATTTTGCACCCAAATGGAGAATACAAAAACCAAATCGACTACATACTGATTAAAAACAGATGGAAGACATGTTTTACAAACTTAAAAATTAGACCAAGAGCTGAATGTGGAACCGATCATAAATTGTTATGGGCTTGCTACAAGATGAAGCTAAAAAGAACAATGCCGCAACAAAATCAAAATAGACTGGAGATTTCAAATCCGAAAACATTTAGAGATGCATTAAAGGAAACTAGTATGTTGAACACACAAGACAACCCAGAAGAAATGTGGAAAGGTTTCAGAAATGCTATAGAAACCCCTGTAGAAAGAACCAGAACCGAAAAAAAGATCATCAAAAGAAAACACTGGATGACAGACAGAACGCTGCAACTTCTCGAAGAGCGAAAGAGAATCAAATCTCTCATATATCAAAACGACAGCAACAAAAACGAATTAGCAAGGTTAAATAGAGAAATTAAAAGAGCATGTAGGGATGATAAAAACAAACATATAAATAAAGAATGCGAAGAACTAGAGAGACATGCAAACCGGTATGAATCCCATGAACTATATAACAAAGTCCGATATCTATCCAGGGAATTTAAACCAATCACACAAACAATAATGGATCAAAACCAACATATTATAAATGACGAGAAAGGGATTGCGGAGGTATGGAGAAAATATTGTCAAAATCTATATGCAGATGATTCCCAGAATGCAAATCACGATGAGTTCACTGCAGAGAGAGAACCAAACATTCTAAAGTCAGAGGTAGAAAAAGCAATCAATAAGTTAAAAAAAGAAAATCTCCTGGCGCAGACGAGATCATCGCAGAAGTTTTAAAAAAACTGGAGATGTTGGAGTACATGTTATGCATATGATCTGCAAAAAGATTAGAGAAACGGGAGAGTGGCCCAACGACTGGACAAAATCCACTTTCATCCATATATTCAAAAAAGTAACTCCGCTAGATTGCAGCAACTACAGAACGGTAACCCTAATATCCCATGCAAGCAAGGTTCTACTTCATGTACATGAAAGATTAAAAGCTTTTCTATTGCCTCAGATATCAGAAGTACAAGTGAGATTTGTCCTAGGAAAAGGCACAAGAGAATATCAGACAGCTAATCCTTAATATCAGACAGCTAATCGAAAAAACTCATGAATTCAATACTCCTATACTTATGTGCTTTGTGGATTATACAAAGGCCTTCGATAAAGTCAAATGGCAGCAGCTATGGTCCATACTAGCGGAAATGGGAACACCCCACCACTTAATTTAACTAATTAGAAGTCTATATGAAAATAATAAGTGGACAGTAAAAATAAACAACACCCATTCCGATCATCTAAAAACAGAGGCAGGTGTCAGACAGGGATGCATAATCTCGCCAACTCTGTTTCATATCTACAGCGAACACATTATGCGAAAGGTACTAGACGGATGGAACGGCGGAATATCAGTAGGAGGTCAAAAAATACAGAGGTAAAAATGAAACAACATACAAGCAAATACACAAGAATATCAGAATAAAGATCCAACAAGCCAAAGAAACCTGGCTAAGTAAAAGATGCCAAGAAATTGAAGAGTTGGAACAAAGACATGATACTTTCAATCTACATAAAAAACTAAAAGAAGCCGCTGGAATATTTAAACAATCTCCTACGTCTTTCATCGAAGATAAACATGGGAACCCGCTACTGAACATAGAAGATCAAATAGGTAGATGGAGAGAATACGTGGAAGAGATGTTTCAAGACAGAGAGGACGAACATTTACATGCAGGAGGCATCGACTGGACCTTATATTACAAAGCTAGAAATTATCAAAGCGGCAAATCAGTTACAGAACGGAAAAGCTGTTGGGGAAGATAATATCCCAATTGAAATAATAAAGATATTACTAGACGAACACATCGAAGTAATGGAAGATATATTTAACAAAATATACAAAACAGGCATAATACCAAATGATTGGTTGACATCGGTATTTATACCACTACCAAAGAAGAGAAACTCCAAGAAATGTGAAGACCATAACATTATTAGCCTGATGAATCATATGTTGAAGCTTTTCCTACGAGTAATGTAATACACAATAGAGTATACAATAAACTAGACGAACACACTGGTCAAACTCAGTTTGGTTTTAAGAATGGAACAAGAGAAGCACTTTTTTCAATACGTGTGCTAGTTGAAAGATCTAGAGATGTCGATTCTGATGTATACTTGTGTTTTATAGACTTTCAGAAGGCGTTTGACCTGGTGAAACATGATAAACTAATAGATATTTTAAGGTCATGTAATAACGACGATTAAGACTTAAGGATCATTTTAAACCTCTACCAAGAACAAAAGGCTAAAATTAGAATAAAAAGCGAAACATCTGGAAAAATCAATATCGAGAAGGGAGTAAGACAGGGATGTGTCCTATCACCTTTGATGTTCAATGTTTACTCTCAGAAGATATTTCAGAAAGCTTTGGAAGGCACTTCGAATGGTATAATTATAAACGGGCAATGTATAAATAACCTGCGATATGCTGATGGCACTGTCATACTGGCAGATAATGCTGAAGCCCTGCAACGCTTAATGGACCGAGTAACGACAGCCTGTAGAGAATTTGAAATGAAATTGAATACAAAGAACACAAAAACGATGGTCATCAGCAAGCACCAAAACAGAGGGGTGAAGGTCAATGTCGACGGAACAGATCTGGAAAGAGTAACAAGAACAACGTACCTTGGAAGTAATCTTGATGAAACTTGGGACCACTCACTAGAGATAAGAATATGCCTGAAAAAGGCACGTACAATGTCTTACAAAATGCAAAAAGTTCTATGCAACCGCCAACTGGGCATCTCATTGAGAACTAGAATACTTAAGTGCTATGTTTTCTCCACCTTGCTCTATGGTGTTGAAGCCTGGACAATGACAGAAGCAGCACAAAAAGAATCCAAGCATTCGAACTCTGGTGTTACCGTAAAATGCTCAGAATATCCTACATGAGCCATACGACAAATACGGAAGTCTTGCGGAGGATGAATAAGGAAAGAGAGCTTATGCTTATAATAAAAGAACGGAAAACACAATATTTTGGTCACATCATAAGAAATCAAAAGTATGAACTGCTCTAACTTATAATCGAAGGCAAAGTCAATAGCAAAAGTGGACCAGGAAGAAGACGCAACTCTTGGCTTAAAAACCTACGGCAATGGACGAACATGACCTCCATAGAACTATTCAGGGCTGCTACAAATAAGATTAAATGGGCAAATGTAATGGCCAACGTCCTTAAGGATAAGGCACCGTAAGAAAAAGAATTTAAAAAATCAATAACTTGAGATATACTGATGACACTTTAATAATCGCGGCAAATCAGGAAGAACTGGAAGACATAATGAGATGTTTTTAAGGAAAAAAGCAAAACATATGGACTAAAGCTAAATAGGAGTAACACAAAGATCATGATAGTAGACAGAGCTCGAAATAATCTTCAACACATTAAAGAAATTCGGGGCTTTAAAGTAGTAAATACTTTCATATACCTGGGGTCCCTAATAACAAATGACGGAGGGTGTGACAGAGAAATACGTAGAAGGTTGACTATTGCTAGAACAGCTATGATGAACTGACTGCAAATTTGGAAAAATTCTAGCATAACAATACACACAAAACTAAGGCTCGTAAAAGCGCTCATTTTTCCCATAGCCACATATGTATCCGAAACGTGGACCTTAAAGAAAGCGGATAAAAATAAACTGGACGCTTTTGAAACCGCCGCATGTTGGGAATATCCTGGATTGATCATCGCACTAACGTATCGATATTCTTCTACTTCTTCTTTTGGCATCATAACCCTGGATGGGTCTTTGCCTGTCTGGCTATGTCCTTCCATTCAGATCTCTCTTGTGCCCTTCTTCTCCATTGTCTTATGTTCATTGTTTTCAGGTCGTCTTCCACGTCAACCAACCATCTCGTTCTGGGCCTTCCTTTTTTTCGCCTTCCTATGGGCTTCTATTGTAACATTTTCTTTGTTGTTTTTGCATTGTTTTGTCTCTGCACATGTTCGAGCCATGACAGTCTTTGACTTTTCACAAATCTTACAATGTCATAACCTTCATTTAACTCATTAACCTTGTCGTTTCTCCTAATTCTCTATGTGCCATCTTCCTCTTGTACCGGGCCATATACTTTCCTCAGTATTTTTCTCTCGAATGTCCTGAGTTGGGCTTCATCTTTTTTCGTCATTACCCAAGTTTCACATCCATGGGTTACTACGGGTCTAATCAGTGTTCTGTACGTATCGATATTAGAACAACTTAAAGTAAAGGATAGATTGCTTAAACAGATACAACAGAGATATTTGCAGTATTTTGGACACATTGCTAGAAGAACAGGCACGATGGAAAAACTGATAGTCCAGGGTAGAGTTGAAGGAAATAGACCTAGGCGAAGATCTCCAAGCCGTTATGTAGATCAAACAAAAATATTGATTAACCAATGGTTGCATTAAGCCCAAGACAGAAAAGGATGGAGGGAAATTGTGAAAAAACTGTGAAGGCCTGATGGTGTCACCACATCCCAAAAGGGATTAGGACTGAGGAGTAGGAGGATCATAAGGGAGAATTATAAATATGAAATAAATTATTGAAACACTTATATAGTAGTTTAATAAACTTCTGGTGCATTTAAAACTTATACAAGGTCTTAATTCAACTTAAAATATATAATATTTTAGCTGATATATAAAGACTATTATGCTGTGCATATTATAATAACGCTAGTAGCGTGACTAATTCGCTACTTTTTTTTTCAAGCAGTGGACGCCGTTCTCCTCTAATTTGGCCGTATAAGGGTTGTAGAATGGCTTTAGAAAGCAATGACGGTAGTGACTTCAAAGCAATAGGCAACCAAGATCCTGGAGACCTATAACATAAGACAAAAGTGATTGATATTCTTAAACTATTCAGCAGTGATATAATATTAGACATTTTTAGAATGACATATAAAAATCGCTAGGTATTAGGTGAGTATAAGTGTGAAGCGGATGTCTAAAAATTTAAACATGTCGATTTTCATGTAAATTAGTTTTTTCGTCCCACTTACTTCACAAAGGTTTAGAAAGTTACGAGCCTAGAACAATACATAGCCCAGAATATAGGTTTTAGAAAAAGGTATAAGTACCTACAAAGAAAGCTAAATATCTTTTACTTTGTAATGATAAAAGATTATTATCATCTTTTATATGGGGCAGAATTATCGCCAACGTTTCATGAGCATAATGGTACTACAATAAGAAGATAAAAGATGGTCGCGAAGTTTTCTAACGCCGGCAATAGAATATACCTGTTCATATTCACTAATATCAAAAAAAAACCCATAGTTTAGAGAAGAAGTGAAGACAAAATGTGAAGAAAAGAAGTAAGTCGTTTTACAATACAGAACACGACAAATATAACAGGCATACAAATACTATAAACGAATGAGAAATGAAACAAATACTTTAATTAGACAAATAAAACGGGAATACTGGTTGAGCTTTTTAAAACAGATGGAACACGACTTCTATGGAACAGAGGAAGAAATATGGAGAATAATCAGAGTACAAAGAAAAGATATGAGCAAACTAATAAAAACGAAACAAATTTAAAAAAACATGGGTAGACTACTTTCGATCCATATTTGCTAAAGGTAATGATAATGAACACCACAAGTGACGGCAAACGAAGAGATAAATATTGAGTAGGAAAAGGTAAAGGAAGCATTAAGTAAATTAAAAAACAGAACATCACCAGGAGAGGGTAGACTCAAGACACCAATCGAATATAATAAACATCCGTACCAGAAGAGGGGCAAATGCGGATTCTGATCACTACCTGGTCGAAAGTAGGATAAGGGCTAGAATTTCAAACATCAAAAAGGAAAGAGGCTCTAAACATGAACGATACAATATAGAAGGACTCAAAGAAACAAACAAAAATAGAGAGTACAAAGAAAATATAAGCATCAAACTAGAAAACAGACCAAAACATGAAAACCTAAATGAGGAGTGGGAAGAGTGCAGAGAAATCATAAAAGAAACAGCTAAAGAGGTGTTGGGCATGGAAGGTAAAGAAAGAAGAACAAGAACGAATCACTGGTTTGACGAAGAATGTCAAACTATAACAGAAAGAAAAAACAGAGCATATCTACAGACGCAACAGAGGCACAGAACCCGACAAGCAGAGGAAGAATATAAACAACTACGTAAAGAAGAAAAGAAAATTCACCGAAGAAAGAAGAGAGAATATATCAACAAAGAACTTCAAGAACTACAAGAACTAAGTAAACCAACAGAGACAAGAAAATTTTACTAGAAACTCAACAAAAGCAGAAAAGAGTTCAAACCGAGAACAACGATGTGTAAAGATAAGGAGGGTAATATATTGACAGAACAGCAAGAGATACTTAGAAGATGGACAGAACATTTTAAGGAAAAGCTTGGGGTGAATAGGAAGGAGATGAACCCTGATATACCATTAGACCAAGCAGACAACAGAGAAAAGAGTCCACTAATAATAGCAGAGATTAGAACAGCAGTGGACAAATTAAAGAACGATAAATCACCGGGATCGGATCAAATATCATCGGAGCTACTGAAAGAAGGAGGAGACGCATTACTTAAAGCCATACATGAGCTGATAAGAAAGATATGGTTGAATAAACAGCTACCAAAGGAGTGGAATAGCGGCATTATTGTACCACTACATAAAAAAGGAAACCAGTTAGAATGTGAAAACTACCCAGGAATCACGCTGTTGAATGCGGCATACAAAATAATGTCCAACGTAATGTATGAAAGACTTAGACCATACGCTGAAAAAATAGTTGGCAAATACCAATGTGGCTTCTGTAGACAGAAGTCAACAATAGACCAGATATTTTGTTCTGCGACAGATCCTTGAAAAAACAAGTGAATATAACATCGACACACATCATCTCTTCATAGACTTCGAAAGCGCATATGACAATATAAACCAAGAATTCCTAACAAAAGCAATGAAAGAGTTTAATATACCAACACAGCTAATAGAATTGATAAAAGAAACACTAAAAGTAGAAAGTAAAATCCGGATACAAAACGAATTAACGGAAACAATAGATGTAAAGAAGGGACTACGCCAGGGAGACGCTCTATCATGCATATTATTCAACATCATACTTGAAAAAATAATAAGAGACACAACAGTTAATACCCGAGGAACAATAATTAATAAAAGCGTGCAAGTGCTAGCATTTGCAGATGATGTTGACATAATCGCAAGATCAAGAAGAGAAATGATAGAGGCATTCACTCAAATAGAATGAGCTGCAAAAAATAGTGGTCTTAAAATCAATCAGACAAAAACAAAATATATGCCTGCAAATAAAAACGCACAAATAAGGCAGCTGCCAAATTTAACAATAGGAGAATACAACATTGAGGCAGTAAAAAACTTTACATACTTAGGATCCCTAGTTACGTCTGATAACAACGTTGCAGAGGAAGTGAAGAGGAGAATATTTATTGCCAATAAATGTTACCATGGCTTAATTAGGCAACTAAGATCAGATAACGTCTCCAGAAAAACAAAATGCCAAATATACAAAACCTTAATAAGACCGGTACTCACATACGGTTCAGAAACCTGGACAGTCTCTAAAAGGGAGGAAACGTTATTAGCCACCTTTGAAAGAAAAATCTTGCGACACATATATAAGGGTACAAAAGAAAACGGGATTTGGCGGAGAAGGTATAACTTTGAACTATACAACATATATCAGGATCCGGATATCATAACATTCATTAAAATAGGAAGGCTACGTTGGATTGGACATGTGGAAAGAATGGAAGAAGGCGAAATACCAAACAAAATATTCAAACAAGTGCCAGTAGGAAAAAGAACAAGAGGAAGACCGAAGCTGAGATACGTAGAACAAATAGAAAATGATATAACAACATTAAAAATTAAAAACTGGAAAAAAAAGCACTAAACAGATCAGAATGGAGAAGAATCCTTGAACAGGCCAAGACCCAAAAAGGGTTGTCGAGCCAGTGATGATGATGATGATCACCAGGAGAGGAAAGAATACCGAATAAACTCCCAAAGTACGGATGACCAGATCTGATCAAACGACTATTAAAAATAATCCAAAAGATAATAGAATAAAACAAAATTCTTCAAGAATGGAGATCAATCAACCTTATTTATCAATCAATCAACTTTATTTAAAAAGGGAGACAAATCGAACCCAAAAAATTACAGGGGAATTAATTTATTAAACACTAAAATTAACAACCAAAGTGATAACAAATAAATTGAATGAAATTGTAACACTAGCAGAAGAACGACAAGGTTTTAGGTTGGAAAAATCATGCACCGACGCTAAATTTATAATGAAGCAAATGGAAGAGAAATCATTAGAATACAACAAACCGGCATATCTATGTTTCGTGGAACTTAAGAATGAACTTGACCCGGTCAAATTAAAGCACGGTATCTATTTATTGTACGCAAGATAATAGATGCCTTATAGGTACAATTCCATGGGTACAAAGAATGACTAATGTTGAGGTATTTCGTCGCATGTGCAAACAAAAAGAATTACTAACAATAACCAAAGAGAGGAAATGCAATACTTGGGTCATGTGTTGAGAAGCAAAAGATATGAATTACTTCAAGTTGTACTGGAAGGAAAAGTACAGACAAAAGATTAGTAGGACGACGCCAGAACTCGTGGCTGAAAGATCTGAGGAAATGTTTTGACCGCTCATCCGCAGAAAGCTTTCGCGCAGCAGTTTCCAAAACTACAATTGCCCTTTGGATCGCCAACCTTCGAGAGGAGACGGCGCCATGAGGAGGAGAAGAAGAGAAATACCTTTAGAAATAATCAAAACGGTTGAAAATGTGTACCAAAACAATACAATAAAAGTAAAAGTAGAAGAAGAACTAACTGACCCTATTGAAGCTGGCAATGGAATAACACAGGGAGATTCTAATAATTAACCTGATTATGAATGAATTTAAAAAAATAAGAACTCAAAAAGAATACCAAATGGGAGAAAAACAACTTAAAATAATCTTTTATGCAGACAACGCAATTCTATTCTGTCAAAGTAAAGATAATTTACAACGTATGCTGCATCAATTTAATTAACCGCTAGAAAATTTAGAAGGCTATACACATGGAAATCACCTGCAGACAGGGAAGACAGAATTGTTAGAAATCAAATTGACTTTATTTTGCTCAATAACACCTTTAAGAAGTACATACAATCTACGAAAACATACCCTGGAGCTGATATACATAGCGATCACAATCCAGTTATAATGGATTTTAGATTAAAGTCAAAAAGAAAACAGTGACAAAAAAATAGACATCTCACAACAAAAGAACCCTGAACAGAAAAAAGAAATAAGTATCAAGCTTGAGAAAGAAATAAAAACAATCGAAAACTTGGTACAGACAGACATTGAAGTAACATGGATTGCGCTTAAAACAAAAATAACAAAGATACAAGAAAAAGACATCGAGTTCATAAAACACAACAAAAAACAAGAATGGAATAATAACCATAAATTTCAGATCAGTGGTTTAATTTTCTCCTCTGTCCTCCTTATCCTTTTATTTATCATCTCAGAAATCAGACAGTGTATTTCTCTACGTTCTTTCTCTCATCTCAACATTATATTTACCATGTTTCTTTTATCCACCCCGAAACCCACTCGCCTCTCGAAATCTCCTCTCATTTGCTCATCTCTGGCAGTTAAAAATGTGGGCGGGAGCGACCAGTACCCCACAAACTGTCCAGTCTGCGCTATTCTATTTGTGGAGGTGTCAAAACTACCATGTCCGGTCAGAAACTGCGTCAGGAAGTGGTCTAGTTTCCTGACGCAGTTGGAATC